CAACTCTGTTAAACATCCTGCAGCAAAACTGGATGTACAGGACATCTCTGTACAATAAGAACGAATGGCCTCAAAATGTCAATAGTGCTGAGGTTAAGAAACCCTTACTTTCACTCATTTTAATATATTACAAATAATTTTGATTTTCTTTCAGAAAATAACTATCACATGGATAAGGATATGCTTTTTAAAAGGAGATGGATGAGGGGAATGAGCTCACATAAGTTAAGAGTTCTTCAATTTTTGGGTGCTTTTTATTTGTATTTTTCTACTTTTTCCAAAATAATTGTATATTCACTAGTATTATTTGATCATAATGAGCTGCTTATTTTCCTCTTTCTGGGGTGCTTTTCACCTACTGATCATTGGTGACTTCTTCATCCTTCTGTTGGGGCTCAAGAATCCTCTGTGGAGAAGCTCTTGGGAAGTCACATGTCTCCCAGACTGTGCTCTCACACATATAACCCTGTACTTATATACACGAAAGCATTTTGCATACTGGATTATTTTGGCATTTTTGAGTGATCTTGAATTAGGAACCAAGTGAGAAACAAGACAAAGAGTAGAATAAATTGAGGCAAACATTACCATTATTACTAATAAAATCTGGGTTACAGGATGTACCTTTGGTATGACAGCCAGCTAGTCTTCCCAAATTGAACCCTATCATTGTGCAGAATTACCTGCCCTGTCACAGAAACTCAGACAAGGGCAAACTTCACTATTGTGGAGAGAAGAGCCTTCCCCCGGAGAAGCAGCAATGCCAGCCCTCTGTGGGAAGCTCTCTTCCATGAGGAAAAGATGAGAAGTTGAGATGAGCATACATAGCTGTTTACTTCCAAGTTTATGAATCAGATAAGTCATGCCACTTTTGCTGATGCAGAGTGAGGAAAGGGGAAGAGAAAGGTACTTAATTTTACTAACTAAGCTTCATTCACATGGAAGGAAATATCAAGAATGGGAAAGATGTTCTCTCCCCCTTGCCCCAAAGCTACAACTGTAACTCTGCTACTACCTTTGCTACCCAGTACAGTATCTACTATGTGTGACTATTTAAACTTGAATTTATTAAAATTAAATAAATTTAAAAATTCAGTTTCTCAGTCACACTGGTCATATTTCAAGCGCTCAGTAGCTCCATATGTCTTGTGGCTACCATATTGGAAAATACAGTTATAGAACATTTCCAGTGGATGGTGCTATTATGAGATTTTACCCTACTCATCTTTGTATTATCAATGCCTATAAAAAGGCCTGCCTCTGAGGTCCTCAGAAATGTTTGCTGGAAAGGCACACTGGCTCATGCCTATAATCCTAACACTTGGGGAGGTCAAGGTGGGAGGATCACTTGAGCCCAGGAGTTTGAGACCAGCCTGGGCAACAAATAGGGAAACTGTATCTCTACAAAAAAAATAATAATAAATTAGCTGGGCATGGTAGTGTACACCTGTGGTCCCAGCTACTTGGGAGGCTGTATTAGTCCATTCTCTTACTGCTAGTAAGGACATACCTAAGACTGGGTAACTTAGAAAAAGTTTTAATGAACTCACAATTCCACATGACTGGGGAGGCCTCACAATCATGGCAGAAGGCAAAAGACACTCTTACATGGTGGCGGACAAGAGAGAATGAAAGCCCAGTAAAAAGAGAAACCTTTTATAAAACCATCAGGTCTCATGAGACTTATTTACTACCACAAGAACAGTATGGAAGAAATGGCTCCCATGATTCAATTGTCTCCTACCAGATCCCTCCCACAACACATGGTAGTGAGTACTACAATTTGAGATGAGACTTGAGTGGGCACATAGAGCCAAACCATATCATTCCACACTGGCCCCTCCCAAATCTCATGTCAAAACCAATCATCCCTTCCCAACAGTCCCCCAAAGTCTTAACTCACAGTAGTATTAACACAAAAGTCCACAGTCCATAGTCTCATCTTCGACAAGGCAAGTTCCTCCTGCCTATGAGCCTGTAAAATCAAAATCAAGTTAGTTACTTCATAGATACAATGGAGATACAGGCATTGGATAAATACACCCATTCCAAATGGGAGAAATTGGCCAAAACGAAGGGGCTAAAGGCCCCATGCAAGTCCAAAATCCAGCAGGGCAATAAAATCTTAAAGCTTCAAAAATGATCTCCTTTGACTCCATGTCTCACATCTAGGTCACACTGATGCAAGAGGTGGGTTTCCACGGTCTTGGGCAGCTGCACCCCTGTGGCTTTGCAGAGTATAGCCTTTATCCTGGCTGCTTTCATGGACTGGCATTGAATGTCTATGGCTTTTCCAGGTACACTGTGCATGCAAGCTGTCAGTGGATCTACCATTCTGTGGTCTGGAGAATGGTGGCCCTCTTCTCACAGCTTTGCTAGGGAGTGCCTCAGTGGGGACTCTCTGTGGGGTCTCACATCCCACATTTCCCTTCAGCACTCCCCTAGCAGAGGTTCTCCATGAGAACTCTGCCTCTGCAACAAACTTCTGCTTGGATATCCAGGTGTTTCCATACATCCTCTGAAATCTAGACAGAGGTTCCCAAACATCAATTCTTGACCTCTGTGCACCCACAGGCTTAACACCACGTGGAAGCTGCCAAGGCTTGGGGCTTGAACCCTCTGAAACCACAGCCTGAGCTGTACCTTGGCCCCTTTCTGCCAGTGCTAGAGCAGCTGAGACACAGGGCACAAAGTCCCTAGACTTTACACAGCAGGGGGGCCCTGGGCCTGGCCAATGAAACCATTTTTTCCTCCTAGACCCCTGGGCGGGTGTTGGGAGGGCCTGCCACAAAGGACTTTGATATACCCTGGAGACACTTTGTCCATTGTCTTGATGATAACATTTGGTTTCTTGTTGCTTATGAAAATTTCTACAACCAGCTTGAATTTCTTCTCAGAAAATAAATTTTTATTTTCTATTATACCATCAGGCTGCAAATTTGATCAGCATTTTGGTCAAAGCCATTCAGTAAGTCTCTAGGAAGTTCCAATCTTTCCCACATTTTCCTGTCTTCTGAGCCCTCCAAGTTGCTAGGAAGTTTCAAACTTTCTCACATTTTCCAGCTTCTTTTGAGCCCTCCAAACTGTTCCAGCATCTGCCTGTTACCCAGTTTCAAAGTCACTTTCACATTTTTGGGTATCTTTACAGCAGCACCCACTCCCAGTACCAACCTACTCTACTAGTTCGTTCTCATGCTGCTTATAAAGACATACCTGAGACTGGGTAATTTATAAATAGATTATAAATAGATTTAATGGGCTCCTAATTCCACATAGCTGGGGAGGCCTCACATTCATGGCAGAAGGCAAAAGGCATATCTTACATGATGGTGAACAAGAGAGAATGAGAGCTAAACAAAAGGGGAAATGAAACCTCTTATAAAACCATCAGATTTCTTAAGACTTATTCACTACCATGAGAACAGTATGGAAGAAACCGCCCCCATGATTCAATTATCTCCCACCAGGTCCCTCCTACAATCTGTGGGGATTATGAAAGCTACAATTAAGATGAGCCACAGAATGAGACCCTGCCTCAAAAAGGTGTTTGTTAAATGAATACATGAAAGTGGATTACTGCCATTTTGTTTTTCAAATCTGCATGTTGTAAAGTTCTTTCCATTTTCATGCAGCAAAACATGAAAATTGAACATAGATATCTTGTTAAATGGAATAAATGAGTTGAAGAATATGCATTCTATAATATTATTTTTATTTAGAAATAATTATTTGTATGCATGTGTGTGTGCAGGGTGGGGTGGTGGTGGTTAAAAGCATAGAAAAATGTCTTGAAGTGTACATACCAGACTGTATGTATCATCTGGTGGTTGAAATTGAGGGAAAGGAATGAGGAATACCTTTTTTACTTAAAAATTTTGTTCCTAGAAACCTGAATTACTTTTGAGTAAAAAAATTAGCAAATTAGGTAGTATGTTAACTTTCCAGATACACTAAGAAAATAATGGCTCTTTTCAATGTCAAGTATTAATGAAAGGCAATTTTAAGGCAATCTTAGCACTTTATGTGTTAAGAAAAATGGTATTGAAGCATAAGGACAAATAACACCCATCAGCCTAATGGATATTGCACGTAAACAATGAATTCTGTTTTGTTAGGAGTGTGCAAAATAATGTTTTATTTCCCAAAAATATAGCTTCTCTGCTATGCTGCAGAGAAGGATAGGGTCAGACGGCACAGTTCTCATTTTTCTGTTAGACCTCTTGACCCAGCAGTATACTTTCTTCCACCTCTCCTTATTGAAATTACTTTTGTTCATTGCAGAGGTAATCTTCACCCTGGAAACGGATCTAGTTGTGGTGTCCATGTCAGAATACTGATATACTGACTGTGATAATCCTTTTGCAGCCTTACCTCACTCCTCGTTTGATAGTTTATAAGCTCACAGATGCTGGACCAGAATTCAGTCCATAAAATTAAGACATTCTATTTGACAGGGCCAAATCTAAACTGCTGAAGCAAGAACACTAAAGCATGAAGTGGTACCTTAAAAAGTAACTAGGGCCATCTAACCCACAATAAAAATCAACCTGGTTTCAAATGAAGATTTTTACATGCTGTAACAATTTCTTAGGAAAAAAGGGCTCTCATTATGAGAATATAAAACCCAATGAAAATGACAAGTAAAATAATATAGAATTAGTAGTTTAATTAGCAGCTCTGCTGTTGTGTTTCATGCTCAGTTGATGGGAGAAAAGAATATTTTCATCGAACAATTGAAATGAATGAATTTAAAGATATTACATAATCACCTAGAAAAATGACATTAAAAGCGGTCTTGAAAATAAGCATTATAGAAATGTTATCTTTGTAAATATTGCATACATTAACTAATATTCATTATTAAATCATGATGGTTCTAGGCTTGGATAAAATTCCATCAGGATGAATGTATCCCTGGGGGTTGATATTTGAAGAGGCTGAGCTGTTTGGTAGCTTACTCCTTGCTTAATTTTTTTTTTCTTATTGTTTCTACTTTTCAGACCCACTATGAAAATGGAGAATATATTATCAGGCAAGGTGCAAGAGGGGACACCTTCTTCATCATCAGCAAAGGAACGGTAAGCTTTGGTGGCACAAGACAGTGGTGCACTAGGGGAATCTTGGATTTGTTAGTAACTCCAGTAGGAACACATGCAGAGTCTTGTGCTATATGAGTTCATTTCATTTACTGACACAGAGAGGTACTAGAGAATGGATCTTACAAAAAATGATGCAGGAGGGAAAAAAAGGTGGAGCTTTGAAACCAGTAAGTAGCCTACTTGCTAATAATCATAATATTAGATGGCACTGATATATTTGTGTGAATAGAAAGATCTCCATCATTAAAATAATATAATAAAAAAAGAAAATACCAGCTGGATGTGGTGGCTCATACCTGTAATCCCATCACTTTGGGAGGCCAAGGCAGGCAGATCACTTAAGCTTAGGAGTTCAAGATCAGCTTGGGCAACATGTCAAACCCCATCTACACAAAAAGTAGAAAAAATTAGCTGGGCATGGTGGTGCATGCCTGTGGTCCCAGATACTTAGGAGGCTGAGACAGGAGGATTGCTTGAGCCCAGGAGGCAGAGGTTGCAGTGAGCCAAGATGGTGCCACTGCACTTTAGCCCGGGTAATAGAGCAAGACTGCCTCCAAAAAAAAAAAAAAAAAAAGAAAGAAAGAAAGAGAGAGAGAGACAGAGAGAGAGAGTGAGAGAGAGAGTGAGAGAGAGAGGAAGGAAGGAAGGAAGGAAGGAAGGAAGGAAGGAAGGAAGGAAGGAAGGAAGAAAGAAAGAAAGAAAGAAAGAAAGAAAGAAAGAAAGAAAGAAAGAAAGAACGAACTTAGGTCATTTACAAAATTCATCTAGTCATTAGAAGCAGTAACATTGCTATAATGAAACATCTGGGCTTTGAAATCAGATGGCCTAAATTTTAATCCTGTTACAAAACTTAGTCATTTTAATGCCCTTAGGAAAGTTGCTAAATGAGGATGATAAGGATAGATATACACTAATGTTTTAAGTTATTTTCATAAATAAATATTGGAACTAAAAACTACTAAAAGTAATAAATTATAAAGGAAGGGGTAAAAATGGGGTAGACAAAGGTTACGAATGCAAAATCATACTTTATTTCTTAAACTGTTTTAGTTTTTCATCAACATGAATTTATTTATATCTCAAAAGTACAAAATTGAGTGAATTGGAAAATAGAATTTTTTAGATTAATACTATACTATTATATTACTAAAATACCTTAAATTTCTTTCCACGGTGAAGTGATTTAAACTTATTTTTCTTTATTATGTATCATTACAAGGAATTCATATCTCTGTATGTACTAAGTATAGGAAGAGATGGAGAAGGAAATGCAAGTAGAAAGGAATTTATATGCCAGTTTCTATTTTTATAACTATCACTTTATAAATGAAGCAAATTTATTTCTTCTAATTTAACAAAATGACTGACTCTACTAACTTATAGTTCATATAGAGAGAGATTTCCAGAGCCACAGTGAATAGAATGAGGTGGAAGATTATAAGTATTATTGAATCACAATTTAGATAATTCTCCTTGGATGAATTTTGGATCAAGTATATGCATATGTCAATATTTACATCAATGGCATGTCACACAAAAATGAAGAAAACAATATTTGTATTTTTATTATTCCTATTCTTTTGACTGATCTCTGAATGCCTGGGATAGAAGTAGAACTCAAGGCTGACTTCTTAAAAGGCATCATGAAATGACATCTGACCGTGGTTATAGTTAAAATTGTATCTTGTATTTTCCAATGTTAGAATATAAGAAAATGTTAATATTTTGTAGTTTATATGATAGATTGTTAGAGCTTATTATTTACTGTCTTATTGTTTAGATTGACTAAAGAATCAGGGAAAATTTAAAATCACCATGGATATAAATGTTTCAAAAGATTGCATAGGGAATTCGTCCTGACATTCTAGATTTGTTTTGTCTTTACTACATTGCTAATTCTTTGCTGTGATGGAATGATGTGTTTGTCCTTTGAGATGGATTTCTGACAGGCTTTTGCTACCACCCTGTTAGTGCAAATTTTACTGCCTAAAAGTAGTGCTTTGTAACCAGTTTCAGCTGAAGACAGGTGCATTAGTTGTGCCTTTTTACAAGTTTTGTAGTAAGTATAAGTAGAAAGAGTGTGGAAATTATACCACAGGAACCATTTCCCTTGGCAATATTTCAGAGCACTCTGGGGATTCTGGGAGGGAAGTAATACTAATATATTAGATTCTCTTGATACATTCCAGATCTTTTACTTTAAACCAGACATCAATTTCTACTAATTTACTTTTCTAGGTGACACAAGTTAGCTGCTATGATTCTTAGTTATGTAAATTACATAATAATTAAATTAATTTTATTCATTCTAATATTAATGTAATAACAATATTAATTAGTTCTAATTCTAACATATTAAAATCATTAAGACTATGTCACCATATACAATAATTGGAATATATTAAGTCTTAACAAGCAGAAAGTAAGGTCAGCATACTTATATCCCAATGGCAAACAGCACTAAAGACAGGTGAATTATAAGACAGTAGGCTCAGTTCAGCAGGCAAATAAGTTGTAGAACTGGAATTTTCTACAATTATATGTTATATATTTTTTTAGGTGTACAGATGTCAACTTGTTTTCCCATGCATTTAAAAAATGTATAAAGGATAACCTTGGCCAAGATCTGTTTCTTGCTACTACCAAACTGACTTTTTTCTTAGAAAATGCTGTGAGATAGAAGGAGACACAGCAGGGGCTGCCAAGCTACAAATGAAATTCCCCTTGTTCAGTTCCACTTATTTAAGTGTAAAACAATTTTCATTCTTCCATTAAGCACATTCACACAAAGAGAGAAGCATTATAAAATAAGCTTTGCAATACTTGTTTTTCCCCCATTAAGCCTGTGCAATCTGATTTTTCTAAAACCTAAGGCAGAATGCTTGCAGTGATGATGGCTAAAGTACCTGGTGCTGCCTCAAGTAGAAGCTCAGTTAGTTCTCTATACTTCAATCACTGCATTACAGCTGCCTGGATACATGACTTGCTTCTCCAACAGTGAACTATAAAGCACCAAAGACTCCTGCATTTGTCCCTGCAGCTGTGTCGCATCACAGAATGAACTATCTCTTTATAAATAAATAAAACGAAAATTGAACAGGATAGGTAAGCAAAGTTGCAGAGTTCTAATAATAGTTCAAAAGCATTTTGATTTTTCTGATTTCATTCAACATACCTGTATCCTACCATTAGAAAAAAAAAGGGATTCAAAAATTCTTGTCTATCAAATGGCATTTAAAATCACATGGCTTTGCTTCATAAAATTAACAAGTATTTAAACATGTCAATTAAACATGCTGCCTTAACACAATGCTCAATGTTTTTTAATATAAAAAGTGTTCTGTTATGGAAATTTTATTTGCATATGTATACATATATTTATGTATACATTATGGTGAACCCTCTGGAAAACATTTTTTTAAATATCAAGAACAAGATAAAGATATACATTATTACCAATCTTGTTTAGTGTTGTGCTAGACATCTCAAATACTATAGTAAGTTAAGAAAAATAAATAATATTTGTAAAGAAACAGTAATTATACATGATATGTTTTTAATTTCATTTAGGATTTTATGTAGAAATATATATTATTAAAATTAATAAGAGTTTAGCAAATTAGCATTATTCAGTACATTTTTCTTTATTAATGGAACTGTTCTGTACGCTACACAACCCAATATAATAGCTATTAGTCACACTTGCTATTAAAGTAAAATTATCTAACTTAACTTTAATGTTAATTTCTTAGTAGCAGTAGCCACATTGCAATAGCTGCTAGTGGTGACTGTATTGGACATTATAGAACTGGATATTTTACTATAAATGAATATTGAAAAAGCCATATCATTCAACGTATTCTACCATATTAACAGTCTAAAGAAAATGAATCACATTATCATGTCAAATGATGCAGTGAAAGGGTGTGACAAGTGTAACATCCGTTCATAATAAAAATTCTCAGCAAATTGAGAATATAAGAGAACTTTCTTGCCCTGATAAGTGGTATCTACAATATGCCTACAGTTCACATACTTAAGGTGAGAAACAGAGCAATCAAGAAATGAAAGGAACTGACAATAAAAGGAAAGTCTCTTCAACAAATGGTGATGGAACCATTGGTAATCCATGGACCAAAACAGGGGAACCTTGACCTAGACTTTATACCTTTTATAAAAATTAAATTAAAATTAGTAATAGATTAAAAGTAAAACAAAGCTATAAAACTTTCAAGAGAAATATATGACTTGCGGCTAGATAGGAAGAGTTCCTAGACATGACACCACCAGCACAATCCATAAAGAAAAATGATAAATTGGGCTTTATCAAATTTAGAAACTTTTATTCTGTGAAAAACACTGTTCAGAGAATGGAAAGACAAATTACTAACAGGGAAAATTATTTGAAAAGTACACATCTGGTAAGGGGCTTATATTGATCCTATCCTTTATTGATCCTATATAAAAAAACACTTAAAAATCAATTAAAAAAACACTTAAAAATCAACAAAAAATACCGAAGTACCCACTTACAAAAAAAAAAGGAATGAAGGACTTGAACACATCAGCAAAGAAGATACACAAATGGCAAATATGCACACGAAGAGGTGTTCAAAATGATTAGTCATTAGAAAATTGCATATTGAAATACTGAGATATTACTGCATACTTAATAGAATGGCTAAATCTAAAAACAAAAATTAACAACATCAAGTGCTAGTGAGGATGCAGAGCAACCAGTATTCTCATACACTGCTCCTGGGAATGCAAAATGGTAAAGCCATTCTGGAAAACAGTTTGTAGTTTCTTATAAAGTTAAATAAACATTTACCGTATGGCACAGCAATTACTCTTTGTGATATTTATTCTAGAGAAATGAAAATATAGCTCACACAAAAAACTCTGCATCAGTGTTTGTAGCATCTGTATTCATAATTGCCAAAACTAGAAATAAACAAATTATGTTATATTCATTCAATGAAATATTAGCAATAAAAAACATAAACTATTGAACCTTGCAACAACTTGGATGAATCTTCAAGGCCTAATGCTGAGTAAGAAAAAACATCTGAGAAGGTAAAATATTGTATTATTTCATTTATATGGCATTCTCAAAAAGTTAAAATTAGTTTGATGCAGAACAGGCCATAGGGGTAAGGAATGAGAAGGATATGATTACAAAACATAGCATGAAGGAGTTTCTGAAGGTGATGAAATTGTTCTGTATCTAATTGTTCTGGGAATTAGACAAAACTATCCATGTGTTTAAGTTCATATAACTATATTCCAAAAAAGAAGTAAATTTTACTGTATGATGGAAGTAAAATTTACTATATGATAACTTAAAAATTCATGTACCTTTCTAAATACTGTACCAAGTAACTAAAATACATTTTCAAAATACCATTTCAAAAATCAAGTATCTAGGCATATCTATAACAAGAAAATGTTCAAGTCTTTTAAGAAGAAAATTGTATTTAAAATATTATAATGAAGAGCAAAACATCAACATGGCAGAACATCTGAAAGAAAGAGAAACATATTGGGAGTTACTACAGTAGGTATCAAAACTTTTTATAAGGTTCAGGTAATGGAAAAAAATGTGGCCTTAATTTGACTGAAAACCAGACAAATATGTCAGAGTAAGAATGGTGAGCCCAGATAAAGATCCATTATGATATGGAAGCTTGATTTAGGATAGCGTGGACACTACAGATATCACAATTGGTTATGCATAGGGACATAAATAAAATGGGATCCCTAGCTCACACCATACACAATGCCACTTTCAGATGTAAATGTGAAAAGAAAAATTAGGAAAAAATTAAAAGGTAATTGGGAGAATACTTCTATTATCTTGGGATAAGAAAGGATTTCTTGAATAAGATATTTTGAAATGCAAACAGTAAAAGATAAAATGGTTAAGTGTAATTACATTAAAATTAATAAATTTATTCAACAAGACATCACAAAGATGGTTTAGACAAACCACAGTCTTGTGAATGAACAACAACAAAAATAAAGATAATCAGTCCAATAGAAAAATAGGCAAAAAGCATGATCAGACACATAATCAAAAGAAGCACAAGTGGCTCAAAAAATAAGATGATAAGATCTCCCACCTCTATTGATAATAAGGGAAATGCCATCTAATACCTACTTTTCTGGAAAAAAAAAATCAAAGTCTGACAATATTAAGTATTGATGACAGTATAATATAATATGTGTTTTCATACATTGATAGTAGGAATGTAAGATTGTACCAAGAGTGAGTTAATATTTAGTAAAATCGAAGATGCATATACTTAATAACCTTGTTCTTTATTCATAAACATTGACCCTAGTGAATTCTTAGCCATGGACACTAGAGCACATGTATAAGAATGTTCACAGTAACGCAGTTAATAGTACAATAAAAACAAAATATAACAGAAATAAAACTGGAAGCCACCCACATTTATATCTACAGAATTAGTAAATTGCATAATAGTCATATAATGGAATACTGTTTAAACAAAGAAACTGAATTTTAGCTTTTATATGAACACGGGTGAATCAGAACCTCAAGAATAAGGGCCCAGTAACTTTTATTTTAGATCAGACTCCCTACTGAAGATTCCGCATCTATAAAAGTCTCGTCAGCATACAAATTAGTGTCTCTGTGATACAGCTTAGTGGTAAGGAAAAGTGTTAAAAACTGAATTTCCATGGTTTTGAAACACTGTGTGGAGGAGTAATGAAATGGATCAGTGGAGAATAATAATTGAATTTCCTCTACCTTACACAGACCTTCTTAATACTTATAAAAATTCTGGTCTTTGACATCTAATCTCTAGATTCAGAAACCTGAAGCATAGTATTATTAAATATGTTTAAGTGTTTTTAGCTTTGTTTCAAGAAATTAGTTTTTTACCTCATCACATTTTCCAGGTAGGTGAATTTTAACTATTTAACCTTTCTGGATAACAAAAAGACAGTTTTATGAATATTAGTAGAGCTTGAGGGAGATATGAATTAACACAAAGGTACAAGTTACTTTATTTTTGTTTTCATTCATGCAACAAAAAACATTATCACTTGCCTTCTGTTAAGTCACAAGTCCTGTGTGTTCTAGGCTATCTATCTTGTTAGTAATGACACATTCTGTTAAAAAAATTTACAACTATTTATTGAGTGCTTATTATAATTTGTGGAGAATGCCAAAGAAATACAACTTTCTTTTAAGGGCACTTTATTTAGTATAGTAAAAAAGGGCATGTATGTAATTTATACATCTTTAGAAATAGCAATCCTACCAAATGAAGCATATGAATTATGAAGGATATGGTCAGTTAGAACCATGCAAGAAATCTTTATGAAAATGTGATATGTCTTCAAATGAAAGCTGGATTCTTCTCAGGGAAAGGGACAGGCTTATCCTAGAGAAACTAGGATATGGATGTGGATGCATGTAAAAGGCTGTTCATTTCAGCAGAAAGAAAGAAAGAAAAAAATGGAAACAATATAATTGCCAATTTACAAGATATGGGTAAGTAAATATATTTACATAATGAGATAAAACTCATACATTAAAATGAATGAAAGAGATTTATACCTAAGAGCATAGAATAAATAATTAAAACAATATTAAGGGAAAAAAGTAAGTTGCAGAATGATGAATACTACTTCTGTTATTAATATATTTTAAAAATACATGTACATAAACACATAAAAAAGATGGACAGAATGCTCACTAGGTTCATTATAGTGGTTGCTTCATAAAGGCAGGAAAATTAGAATGGAGATGAGGAGTGAGATCAAATTTACTAGTAATGTATTATTTCTTTAAAATAACTTGAAAGGATAACAAAATATTTGGAGGTAAGCTCTTGTGGTTTTCCTGGGAATTTGTAATATTGTTCTTTGGTCCTGTTAGTGGTAATTCAAATGCTTTCTCTTTATAAAATAAATTAAGAAAATAAATAAGAAATGGAATTAGCCTCATTAATTAGTGTTCCTTTGTTCATTGTGAGTAAGCAGTGGATTTAAACTTTCATTGTATCTCTTTGTAGGTAAATGTCACACGTGAAGACTCACCAAGTGAAGACCCAGTCTTTCTTAGAACTTTAGGAAAAGGAGACTGGTTTGGAGAGAAAGCCTTGCAGGGGTAAGTAGATCATGTGTAATACAGGTTTTTGTTTGAGTGCTACATAAATTCCTGTCTGAAATTTTGAGCTCCTAGCACAATAGGCTTTTTATTTAGTACTTATCCCAATATCAAATATGGACCCTTGATGATAAATCAATTGTTATTTATTTTCAGCTGGACTTGGAATCTGTTTGAATAGGTTGTGGAATAAATTCCTTAATTTCTAATAAATCAGTGTTATATTAATTGGAAACATTTTCAGGTTTGTGTACTTAATTGCAATCTCTGTAACAACTTTAAAGAGAGGAAGTCCCTGCTACATTTTGTGCAATGATTTTACCTAGAATCATTAATATGGTTGGTTGAAATTTTTGAAATCCCTAAACCTGTTTGTACAAACAATTGTTATGGGATCTTTGGGGTGTCAATTTCCTGGCTGGAAACCAGTGGCTGGTGGCGCCTTTGACCGAGTTTTGTTTGGGCCCACTGGGCTCAGTGTGCCCACTTGGCCTGGCAGGCTGCACTCAGTTCACACCACCGACCTGGTTCCCACATCTTCAAGGGAGACTGCAAGTCAGGCATGAAGTGGCCAGGGGCATGTGAGTGAGCATGGGGTCCGGCCACTGCACAGGCAAACAATCGCGCTGCTGCTGTGAGGTGCGCAGCTCCAGGTGCTGGCATGGGCTCTTTGTAAGGCTGCGGCTGGACCAGGCACACCGCAAGGAGCTTCCCCGGCTGGCACCAGGGAATGTGGTTGTGCCTGGAAGCTTAGAGACACCAGGAACTGCATAGCCCCAAAGCGGGAGTCACAGCCCTGGCTCAGGGAGCTCCCCAGTCTGCGCCCCTCAAAGGGTTGCAGCTCTTCTCTCCTTGTCTTCACCTGCAATGTGGCAAGCAAGGGGCATGTTTCAGCCCTGTTTGTGTTACAACTCTTTTAGCCTCTCCATTCCATGGTTCCCGATCTCTTGACCTGTGACCAGGAAGAATGTGGTATGCAGACAAGTGGAGGTTAAGTAAGACAAAGAGGAGCTTCATCGAACAGTAGAACAGCTCGGAGAAAACCGGCAGTGGGCAGCCCCTCTCCATAGCCAAGTTATCCCAATGAGTGTTCAGCTCTTAGCAGAGAGGGTAGCTCCTCTCTGCAGCTGGTCGTCCCATCATCTGCAGCTCTCAACAGAGAGGAGGCCCTACAGGGCCTGGGTCCTCTCTGCAGCTGGTCATCCTAACATCAGCTCTGCTCTGGTTAAGCCTGGGGCTTTTATGGGCCTCAGAGGAGAGGAAGTACATGCTGATTGGTTCATGAGCGGCAATAGGCAGGTCCAGAAAAGACACTGCAAGTTCCCACTCCGGTCCATGGGACTGGCAGTCTGGCCTACAGCCTTCAGGCCCTCCCTGGCATGAAGATGGGGCATTGCTGGGCATCCACTCCCTTTCTGCCCAGGAACCTGTCCGCCTCCTGCTGTCGCCAAGCTGCCCTCAGCCCATAATTGGATTCCCTCCTATGCTTATTGGCGCCCAAAGCCCAGAGGGGAGCGAATTGCCAGGGTACTGGCATGTCAGCACTCCTTTGATCATGTGCACACCTGGCCGGGCTGTGACAGCACCTGGGCTCAGTCCCAACTTTCCTCCAAAATCAGAATGGTAGCCAAAAACAGAGAGAAGCCAGGCAGTGGGAGCAGGTACTTCTGATCCCAGGCCCCCAAGAGTGCAGAAATGCCTGGGTCTAGCTGCCTCCAAGAAGCCAGGGATCTTGTCAGCTCCTAGCCCCCCAACCGCACAGGGGAGGCCCGGGTTCATGGCCGTGATTTTGGGCAGCTGTAGCTGCACCCAGGAGAACAGAGCTCCTGCCTCCCCCCTGCCTGCCCACGACTTGGGTGGCTGCAGCCCTGCCCTGGAGGCTCCTGCCTACTCCCAGCCCTGGAGCACAGGGATGCCTGGGTCCATAGTCGTGGCTTGGGCAGCTGCAGTGGCACCCAAGGAGCTCCCATCCCAACTCAGAAGGGGTTGGGGTCCCGCCTGTCCCAGCTCCTGCTGGCTCCATGGGTGTGCAGACCTGGCCATGCCTTCCTGCTGCAGCCAGTGTGATGGCGGCAGCGGCTCCAGATGGCCTGCCACTGCCATCACAACGATCACAAGGCAGTGAAGCTTTCCTAGGGTTCACTTGTAAGTAGTAATTGTCATCACTCTTAGGGTGTGATGGAAGAGTAGGTGGAGGTAATGTACATCTGGATTCACTATGGGATAGGCTGTGAAGGCTAGACTAGTAGAGGTGTACTTCTGTGAGACTGATACTCTATTTTTAAACTAAGACATCAAGAAGCAAGCACTTGGAGGTTCTTCTCATGTATTATGGAGGAAAAACTGAGTTGACTTTTTACCATACATTTTACAGAAGGTATGACAAACATATTTGGGTATCCTACTCTCATTTTCCAATAAACAGTATATCTCAGTTATCATTAAATATAGATGAGCCTTTTTAACATTCAGTGCTGTAAGTGTATACACTACTTGAATAAGCAACAACCAATAAACATTTATTTTTCTATCGAATTTTAGGTGCGGGAGCGTCTCCTAGGGAAGGACAGCAATAGGACGTAATTTACTCCTAGCATATGGGAACAGCCAGTTTTGTTTTCATTTCAAATTGTGCCTTCATTTAAAAAAATTACATTATGAGCCTTTTGCTTCAAAGAACTTCTAAGAAGTAATTTAGGAAGTTATTGTTTTTTAAGCTACAATCAGATGACAGGTTTTATTGTCTTTCTGACGTTTCACAGCTTAATAAGTGAAATAAAAGTATTCTGATAAGTCATCTTACTCAGGCTCTATCACCTTATGAAAATTCAGAAGTAATATTACCTTATGAAAATTCAGAAGTAACTACTCTCAACTTTCCTTTTTTCTCCTACTGAGTTCATTTGATCCTTATCTGATGAACATGTAGTTGCCATTAGTTTTTTTCAATGTCAAAGTTGGAAGAAATAGTATGTTTGGTGTAGATATACAGAAGAGTGAAATAAACATTATCTTTCTAGTATAAATGCATTATGATCTGTATCTTAATCTTGCTTTCCTTTGATTATTAAATATGTTGAAAGATGGCATTTTATAGAAATCAGGTCCATTTTATAGAAAGATGACACCTGATTTTGTTGGTCCAAGATTAAATACTTCTGTGGAAAACAATGTTATTTCCAACAGAATCAAAGAACCAGAAATATTTACAAACATTGAGGTCACAAGTAGAATGCCAGAAAATAAGGCTTAATTGGGAATCAACAGATTTTCTTTTGTAGCTTATTGTTACTGAATGTTGGTGCCAATTAAAGAAAACTTTCATTGTAAAAATACCGTCCTAAAATTTGTACCAAGAAGTAACCTGTGGATGTAGCTCATGGAAAAGTCACCAAATTTTGCTGTATTATCAAAATTTAAGTTAATGATTCTTTAGATTGAATTCCTTCTCAATTATGGTTATTCTTGTGAACTCTCTGGTGCCAAGACTTTCTTTTGCACATATTCAGTCCTCTTCACTTGGCATCTCCCACAGCCTATAAAATAACCAACCCACCTCCCTGTCTGCATCCAGCCCCACACTTTCTCTTCACATCCACCCCTTACCCCCATTTAACTCACATCTCTTTCTTTCTTATGCTCTTATTCGCACTTTCTTGCTATGGAAGCTGGTTTTATTATCTACTCTAAGTGCCCTCTTACATGTCACCAGAGATTTGCTACTTACCTCATGAAATGGTCTTTTTATTTTTTTCTTCATTTGACTTCACTTCTCAACCATGATTTTACCTTGTTGACCACCCCTTTTTTCTTTAAATTCTCCATCCTTTGGGACCATTTAAATTATTGGAACTCTTTAGAATTTATTTCATTTCCTAAAATTTGCTAATGTTGTGTCCTCAACTGTATTTCATACACCTTGGTAAGCTCCTCCAGATGTATGATTGCATAATATCTAAATGAAAAGAAGTCCCAAATGTTTATATTCTTATTTGAACCCAGTATCTGGCTTTTATCAAATATCCACATATTTTCTGAACAAATGAATCAGTGAATGATTGAATAGATGAACAAATGAACCTCTTAAATAATGTCCAGTCTTAAAGTCCCTTCTGCCATCGATCACATTCACGTCTTGAATTTGCCTGGCAGTGGAAAGGAGTTATGAGCTTGCTTGACCATAGGGGGCAGACTAGCGATGTAAATACTACAATAGGTTAGTAAAACAGGTGGCAAACTGGAACACCTAATGTGATGAGGAGAGAAATTACTGAACTCCACCTTGCTGCTGCTCTATAAAAAAATAACCTTGGCTTTTAAGAAAAGCAGGAAAAAAAAAAACCTAGATTTTAAAAATATGAAATGTGATTTTCTAATTCGATTTTTTTAAAGAGCTCTGTAAACCAACAAACCATTTCTGCAAACTGTGTGGCATCTGGATGCCATTTTGTGATTTCTATCACTAAGCTATGCCTCTTTAAAAGCTGTATTTTGCTTCAAATGAAGGAAGCCTATTAAGTTAATCCATCTTGATTATTTTCTTGTTTTGATTTTTTGACATTTTAACATTTTGATATCCTATGTCTGTAACGTGTTTTTCACCGGGTCTAGGTTTTTTAAATCTTTTGTTTGCATTTCAATATTTTTCATGAGAAATTCCAACATTTCACAAATCGAATTGATTTGTTTCACTTGTTTCCTTCTAAATTACTTGGAAATTGATATAACTTTGATATATAAAATCTTTTGGGCAGCTGTTTATATCCTTTGGGTAATAGCTATGCGTGTTTACAAACTATATAGTTTTTATACTTGGAATAAAAATTTTATAGCCAGCATTCTCTATGTGTACAGAACAGAATTTTAGATTGTGTTTTTCTCACAAATAAAATTTGTGTATACTGAGAATTTTGGTTTTATTCTCTTGAGGTTGTTCAGCAGGTAATTAAAATACTGATAAGTTGCTGGTTGGAGACTGAGTGAAATGAATATATGCTTGA